GTAGAAGCTGATTTAGGTTTATCTGAAGAAGATTGAGTGCTACCAAATGACAGTGTGCATGCAACTTTTGAAAGTCTTAGGGACTAATTTTTGCCCAGAGGAGTGTGCCTGTTGTTACTCACCCTGAGGAAAAGAAAAACACCACCAAAAAAAAGAAAGACTCATATTTACTTTTGAAAGGGAACTTCTACTTCTAGGTCACTCAAAAAAAATAAATAAATTTTTGGTGACAGGTAACAGAAACCCCTTCAGCACCAGTGTCTTTATAGCGTAAGTACCTGAGCAGCGTATTATCAGGAGAGCAACCATGGCTGTAATCACATACCAGATATGGAATCACATTGTCTTGATTCTTCTAGAATTCAAACCCATGAATCCCTTCAGGTACGAATCCCAAAACAGTCATAACCGAGAATTACTCAGTGAGTAAATCATTGGCCTTTTGACCTTGCCGGCCTTACGGGAAATTAGGCTGCCCGTCTGTATCGACAGTACTCTGCTGAGCAGTGTCCCACCTAACACACTGAATGCATGACACCATCGGTGATTCCTGTTTAGGGTAGCACTCAAGCTGTGTTGCCTCTCACTCCCGAAAAGGGGCTTGGTGGGTCAGCACTGAGGCTGTAGCCACAGTGATGTGGAGGACGCGTAATCTCCAAAATGCAGCTAACAATAGGCAGCAAGTGTGTCTCCCAAGGACAGTTAACCTAGTTCTCTGCTAAACTTCACATGAAACAATATCCACTCCAAAAGCACAGCAACCTGAAATCCTTCTGTGATGCAGGAGGCTCCTATGGATTCTCTCTTATGCAAAGGTGTGTTGATTTGTGTAAGTTTTACAGGATTGTGGTTCTTTCTTAACCTTGCTCCCTTTTTGGTGTAGGTTCTCCCCAGGATATAGCAGCTGTGAGAAACCAAGCAGCACTCCAGAGCATGAGGACTTCCCGAATGATGGCCCAGAATGCGAGCATGATGGCGATGGGTCCTTCCCAGAACCCGAGCACGCTGCCCACCACGGCAGGCCAGTCAGACATGAGCATGGCTCCCTACAGCAACGCCTCTTCCAGCCAGCCAGGAATGTACAGTATGAGCACAGGGATGAGCCAAATGTTGCAGCACCCAAACCAAAGTGGCATGAACATGGCACATAACGCAGGCCAGGGAACAAGGCAGCCTGCCTCCGGACAAGCGGTGGGAATGGTCAGCAATTTTGGTCAGAACATGCTGGTAAACTCTGCTCTTCCCCAGCATCAGCAGCAGATGAAAGGACCGGTGGGCCAGGTCTTACCCAGACCACAGGCACCACGACTTCAAAACCTGATGGGGACTGTCCCACAAGGAACACAAAACTGGCAGCAGCGAGGCTTGCAAGGCATACCTGGAAGGACTAGCAGCGAAATCGGGCCTTTCAATAACGGCACAACGTACCCGATGCAGCCCGGGCAGCCAAGGCTGTCCAAGCAGCATTTCCCGCAGGGACTTAACCAGACAGTTGTGGACACGAGTGGGACAGTGAGAGCCCTGAACCCTGCAATGGGGAGGCAGCTGCTGCAACCACTACCAGGGCAACAAGGAGCCGGCCAGGCTAGGCCGATGGTAATGCCTGCAATAAGCCAAGGGGTCCCCACGATGTCGGGTTTTAGTCAGCCTCCGACGCAGCAATTGCCAGGTGGTAACTTTGCTCAGAGCGGCCAAGGCCAGGCCTACGAGAGGAATCCCACTCAGGACATCTCTTACAATTACAGTAACGAAGGAGCAGGGGGGTCCTTCTCCAGTTTAGCAGAGGGTGCAGACCTCGTGGACTCCATCATTAAGAGCGGACCGGGGGATGAGTGGATACAAGAACTTGACGAGTTGTTCGGAAACCCCCAGTGAGTGGGCTTGTATAGTCTGGAGCTTTGGTTGTTACGTTTGGAAAAAAAACAGAGTCGGATGTGCTCCCCATCCTTGGATTGTTGGTTTTTTTGTTTGAATTGGTTTGGCTTGGGGTTATTTTGTTTGTTTTCTTTTGTTTCTAATCGTGCAAACCGAGCTGATCTGTAGCCAACGTTGGAAGATTCAGGTGACGATGGAAACATCGGTATCACAAGACTTCCACGAGCAATCTCCGTTGCACGGCAGCACCCGCTGCACGGGTGTGGGGCAGGATGGGGAAACTGGAAAAGCCAGCGGATGCCTCGGGTAGGGAAAACTTGGTCTTTCCCGACTGAAGTGAGGCTTCATTGCACAATGGTGTGGGGTGGTCCCAATATCTCCCACCTCATGTAGCTGTAAAGGCCGCAACTTTCAGAGTAGCATTTGAGAGCGGCCAGGAGCAAAGCCTAAAGAAGCCCACAGGCGATTGCACAGGCCCCAGTCAGAAACGGGCTTAGCGCTGGGTATAAAAGGCCTCAGAGAGCCACGGATGGACTCTGGGCTGTCAGAGAGGACACGCAGCACACTGGTGACAGACCGAAACAGTCACAGAGAGGTCACCATTTTCACTGCAGAGCGATAAAAATCCAATAGAGGTGTAGCAGAACATAAACTTGGCAGTACAGTGAGGACAGTTTGATCACAGGCTGGAGATGGCTTCGGTGGGTGGGTTAACGTAAGGAGCTATGTGGTCCCCTTGGGACTTGCAGTAGCACGTCCCTGTCAGAGCACTTTGCTCTGCTGAATCTGCTGTATCTGTGCCTGCTGCCTGGGACAGCAGAACAGCAGCTGAGTGGTGTTAAAGGGCTACAAGGAACCAGCGAAGGTCTTAAGCAGGTCCCTGTCTCTCCTCCCTCTCCCATATGTTTTCATATGTTCCCCTCCTGTCCTTCAGTGTAAAGCAAGGTAAGCTCACTGCGCTTTTTCTCAGGTGAGCAACAAACACCACAAAGGGGCAGGGAGCAGAGGAGAAGACAGGAAGGAGGGAACGTACAGGGAGGGCCTGGCAGGCAGAAATGAGTTTCTTCTCTCTTGAAAAGTACAAGATTGGCAGGTAGTGTTACCGTGGGGTGTCTGGGCTCTCAGTTTGACATTATGTGCTACCTGGTCTTCTGTTTTAAGCAGGTGCTTGGCCTAATCTCCCTGGTTTGCTGGAATAAAATTCAGTGCGGTATTTGAAAAATGGGAACTAAGGAGGGACTACAGCAAAGAGCATTCATGAATGGGTAAAATAGTTGATTTAGGTATTAAAAACACCGGGTCTGCCCAAATATGCTTTTAAGCCACAGAGATGTATCCCTGTCTCCACTGTCTATCTCCACTGTGTGGACCGGCGCTGAGCAGCGCTGCAGTGAAGCGGTGATACGGCTTCCAGGGACGCCGGCCATTCTGAATGCCTAAGGCAGCGGTTCCCAAGCCGTGGTCTGAGGGCGAGGGAAGCTGTCCTCAGAAACCTGCCATCTTTTCAGATGGGAGCTGGCCACCAGGGTGTGTGGGGGTGCTTAAAAAATGGTAACAGCAGTCCGCAGCCCGAAAAGTTTGGGAACTGATGCTGGCCTCCAAGAGCACGTTATGTGCTCTGTGGTGAGAACATCTGCAGTGTACACATGCCGAAGGCCACAGGAGCGAGGGGCTCGGTACCTGGCACCTCTGTGTCCTCCCTTCCCCTGCGGGGTATCACTGTGCGTCGCTTGGAGGAGCGGGGCCAGGCGGGCCTGGGGCCACCCCAGCACCCGGGTACGTTCCCTGCGGTGCTGCGACCCCTCGCAGGGCCTACCCAGACTCGGGTTAAATGCTGTACTGTAGACAGGACAAGCTGTGTTTTTAACTCGGACTAGCTGGCCAGGGCGAGCTGTCAGTGCAGCTTGCCTTGACCACCGATTTTTTAAAAAAATCCTTTAGTTAGCATTCTTTTATCTAATCCCTTTTTAAAACACAGCGCGAGGCCCCATCCCAGTTCCTGCTGAAGATGACAGGGCTTTGCCTGGCCACAGCTTCAGCTGGAGCTGGGCCGGGCCCCAACACAGCGCAGGACAGCACCAGCCACAATTTGCAGTCCACAACCACCTCGTGGGCTTGTAGCAGGACGAGCCTGAAGGAAGGGGCAGCAAGCAGGGAGCCGGGCACACAGCGGCCAGGGGTTTGGGGACGCACAGCCACCACCCCGCAGCCCCGACCAGGCATTCCCGTGCGTTAGGCAGATGCAGGCTTTGGTGAATGAACGCTGGTGAACGCCGAGCCTCTGTTGTTGTAAAGCTTCCTCCAAATACTCCGTACTGGGACCAAGTACTAGAGAGGTAGATTTTAATAGATCTGGGGTTTTGTTTCTTTCTTTTTTTTTTTTTTTTCTTACTATGGTGCTGATGTATATGTAATGTTAAAAAAAAAAGTTATTTGTAAATATGTTTTTACAATTCTACAGATATCACTGGGTCTACTATCTGTAAAATATATACATATAAAAATATATATATATACTGTTTGTTTAAAATAGAGTATTTTTATTTCATTCCTTAACTCATCCTTACTGCAGTGGTATTGCACTTCAGATGACGTCTAATTACTAATTTGTACTGTATCCCTGATGGCAACTTGCTCCATTTTATTCAGATTTTTCTAGTTTTCTGTTTTTACTTTGTACATTAAGCATTGCTTATTTCCTTTTAAGACCTGTACAGAGCTCTGAAAATGTAGAAAAAAACTGATGTTAACATACCACTTTTAAAGAAAAAAAAGAAAAATGAGAAAAAAAAATCAACAAACAACAAACAAATAAAAGATGGTTATCTGAGTCTTATATAAGGCTGGTGTGTGGGATTATGTCGGCCCTGGTGGTCCTGCAGGCTGCCCTGGGGAGAAGGGAAGGGGCCCCCAAAGGCTGTGCCAGCAGTGGAGCTATCGCACCTCAGTGGCACCCCTACGTCCCTGAAGGTTGGTGGGTGCCCACGGGGCGTGCTGGAGGCAGCAGCCACAGGTGACTGCAGTTAGCTGCCAGGTGGTTAATTGCACAGCCAGGTGTAGGCCATTCCTCTGAGGTCATTGTACCTCAGCGAGGTGTGCTATAAAAGCCCATGGGTGGGGGCGAGGCTAGGCCTATGCTTGGGCAATTGTTATGGGGGATCCTCTGGCTTCCTTGGAAACATCCCCAGGTTCCTGCCTTTGCTCAGCCAGTGCTATGCAGTGAGGAACCACTTTCAGGGGAGGGTGTAGAGTCCTGTGGCTGCAATCTGGAAAGGTGAGGTGAGCTGTTCAAGGTAAATCCAGGTGGGTTTCAAGACCCTACACCAGTATCTCCATGTTTCCACCCTGCTGGAGAGTCCTGGTGGATGGGGTGCTGGACCTCTACGCGCAGCTCGCAGAGACCGGCTGGTTTGGGCAGTGTGTGTGGCTGGGCTCCAAGTAAAGACTTCAAGGTGAGGTTCCCCTTCTCTTTCCTGTCAGTCCTTTGCTGTTTTAAATGCATCTTCTAGCAGGTGAGGTTCCTGTTGATCCTGTTGCACTCCAGCTTTGTGCTGCTAGATGACACCTTGTGGCCTTACCCCGTGACTTTGGGCATGTGAAATTGTCTGTGTGACAACAGCTTATTCCTTTCTGTGGCATAGATGGGTTGTGGGAAGCTATCTATAAACATGGCAGGCATTATAACAGGTAAGCTTTGAATGGAATAGTGCTCAGATGTCTGCTTCTGAAGCTATCAGCAACTTCTGGGCCTCCTGTGATCTGTGTTTCAGGCCTGTTGGGCGACTTGGAGCTTTGTCCTGGTTTTCCTTAAGGTGGCAGTGCTTCCTGCTGCCTGTCACTGTCTGAGGCCTCGCTGGCAGGAGGGTTTGCTGCCTTTCTGCCCATGGGAGGACAGTAAATGGAAGAATTCCCACTGATCACTGTGGTTGTTAAACCTGGTCCTGTTTTGCTTTTTCCCTGTACCCAAGTGCCAGTGAGCTGCCTGTTCACTGCTGTGACCTGCTCTCCCCTCAACAGCCCGTACTGCCCCCCAGTCTTACACCTATCTACTTGTTTCCTTTGTTGTTCCTAATGCTACGTTAGCCTTTACCACATGCAGGTACTAAATTATGCCCCTTAATCATGTTAGAGTGACTGTGAAGTGCTAGCTTCTGCACATGCAATGTGTCTACATTTTTTTCATGTGGAAGATTATTAGGAACCTGATCCCACACTCAATTATTTTGGGCTTGGGTTATCGACCCTTGCAGATTTTCAGAAAGACTGTGTTCTCCGTACAGGCCTGCCTGAACAGAGCTGTAAACGTGGTTAGCGTTTTTGGTCAAATTCTATATTCAGAGGCATAGCAGGGAAGGCTTCAGCTTGCTGGCTGTAGCTGGCATGAATATATTCAGCATTCCCTGTGTAGTTTGAATTATCAGGAGCTACCAAGACAGTCAGTTATGGTCTTTGCATCTCTGTTCTTCTACACAGTTTAAATTTGTCATCAGCACACTTTAAGCCCTTGGTGCTAAGCCATGACTTCCCCCCCTCTCTTAGCAGAAAGCTGTTTTCATAGTCAGTTTGCTTTTCATTGTCACTTTGTTTCCTAGGACTTTGGCCATGCTGGGACATTGGTTTAATCTTTCCCACACCCCAGCCATCTGTGCCCTCCTGGGAGACAATGAAGGAGACCCAATTGTTAGCTGAGCATCTGTGCCTTCTCTTTGTCTGGGCTGGGTCTCCCTCCTGCAAGTGGCACATTGTGGGGATGGCCTGTCTTGAGAGGCTTTGTGTGAGAGCTGGGATCTGCCTACAGGAGGGCCCCACTTCTACCAGAACGGTGTTTGAGCATGTGCTGAACTGTAAATGTGTGTATAAAATCAAAAGGCCTTCGCAGAAGTGTAGGGTCAAGTGCAGCTTTCAATGTCTTGCTGAAGAAAGCAGTGTTTCAGTATATGCTTAAGCAGCCTCCTGCAGTGGGATTGGATATACTTGCAAAGCTGAGACCTTGCAGCAGCATAATGCATCAAATCATTTTCTTACGTTTGTGCAGAATGGATGGCGCTGCTGGTGAAAATGAAGAGGAGTGAAGGAGGACTACACTGGAGGCACTGAGAAGGCCGAAGGATGCTGGGTAAGATGGGCTGTTGCTTGCAGTGCCAGTTGGAACTAAGTTTCTGAGAGCTAAAACCATAAATTCCCTATGTAATTTGTTTAGGGTTTACAATACTGTATGGGGAATCAGAGCATTTAGTTGAAAATGCAGATGTGACATGCCAATCTGTCTTTATGACTCTTCTTCAACAGCACAGGGAAGAAAGAAAGCGTAAACAGCTCAGAAAAAGCATACATTTTACACTGCAATGGGGTGCTAGTACAGAGTTGTGATACTTTATTCACATGCACCTTATCTTTGTGTCCAGGGAAACCATCTGCATTATCTACTTATCTTCTTTTTAAAATAGTCTTCAGAACATTTTTCTTAATTTCTTCATGATTCTGAAGTTCAGGTATTCATCCAGAAAGCTGTTGACAATCCCAGCTGCACCCAGGGTTACCAAGCAAGTCAGAACTATCAAACTCAAATAAAAACCTGTTAACCTAGAAGTAGAAAGTAGAAAAGTAGTGTTACAAACTGTACATGGTCTGTTTACAGTGAAACTTGCTGCTTGCCCAGCTCAGTTAAGAAAAGCTCATTTACACTCAGAGAGGATCACTACTTACTTTAACTTTGAGTGTTTTGGTAATTAACCTTTCCCACGTGTGACTTTCTCCTAGGGGAAGACTCCTAATAATGTCTACAGGGAAGCTCTTCCCCCAGTGTTTCTACATATTCATGTGAAGTTGGGATCTTCTTCCATGAAGACCTACCTCATCACATAATGTGAACACCTATAGGGAGAGCCACAAGCAAGCATGAGCACCTCACTGCAGCATTAGATTTAGGAGTGTCGGGAAGGAAGATGTCAGGGCTGGAGGAGAAAGAGGTGTGCATGTCTCTTGTATCAGCACCTGTCGGTCAAATATTCTCCACTGAGCTGGGAGGTCTGGTTTGGTTATCACTCTGCCTTGAAGATGGCTTTTTGAACAGGGAAGGAAGGGTGTGATCCTGAAACTTGGCTATTAGGACACTCATTGGGGATGGGGGTCAGATTAATTTATCTGTACCAAAATAACTTCATCAAAAGAAGCCTGACCAGCAGGTTGAGGGGAGATGAGTCCCTTCTTCTATTCTTCTCTTGAGACACTCTCACCCCACCTGGAGCACTGCATCCAGGTTTGGGGCCCCCAGCACAAGAAAGAAGCAGACCTGTTACAGCAGATCCAGAATAGAGCCACTGAAGATGATCAGAGGGCTGGAGCGCCTCTCCTACAAAGACAGGCTGAGGGAAGTTGGGGTTGTTCAGCCTGGAGATGAGAAGGTTCTGGGGAAACCTTATAGTGGTCTTCTGATACTTCAAGGGCTTTGTAAGAAGGATGGGGTGGGAGTTCTTTTAAAAGGGCTTGCAGTAGATAGGACAAGGGGTAGGGGTTTTAAAGTAGGAAAGAGGGTGGATTTAGATTAGATATAAGGAAGAAATTCTGAGGGTGGTGAGGTACTGGACCAGGTTGCCCAGAGAAGCTGTGGATGCCCCATCATGGGGCTTGGAACAACCCGGTCTAGTTAGAGGTGACCCTGCCCATGGCAGGGGGTTGGAACTGGATGGGCTATAAGTTCCCTTCAATCCAAACTGTTCTATGACTCTGAAACATAAAACTACCCCACAGGAGTCTGGGAGAGCACCTCAGCCCGGAATCAGAGGTGTTGACAGGCACACGACAACAGGAACCTTCCTCTGTACACTGTGTTGGGCTCAGTCGTAGCTGCCTTGGTGCAGGCTCTGGTCCAGCAGGTATGTCATGGGAGTTGCTGCTGGACTGGCCTCTGCAGGCAAGGAAAGGTCTATGGTGACAATCCCATCTCATAAGCGTAGGTCAGAGGAACTCGTCAGCCTTCTGTTTAGAGCTCCCTATACCCATGCCCACTAAATCTCACTGGTGCCTAAAGACATGACGTGTAGCTTTTCAGTACATGCAGTGTTTAAATGAATGAGAAAATGGTGAAGTATGAGATGTTTTCAGTGTCAGAAGAGCATGAAAAAAGTCTTGAGCTTAGCCTTCTAATCATCTCTTGGAGCCAGCTGGAGGGAAGGAAAGGGATGCAGCTCACTGGTGAGGGCCTCTCCAGCGCAGAAACAGAGTAGAAGGTGCACTTAGCTCTCGTGTGCTTAGAAACCCAGCCCTGGCAAACCTGAACTGCAATTCTTGTAGCCTGGTGCACTTACATGTGTCGTAACCAGCTCCTTGAGCTCAGGCCACGTGGGCAGGTTTGTCTTTAACTGCCACGCCTGCAGTTGGTGATTGCAGTTGAGATTTGGTGTGCAGGCTGATTACCTTTGTGCCTCCAGGAGGCCTTGTAGCACGTGGTGTGTGCTGGGGCACAGCCCTGCACGCCTGACTGGTGCAGAAGCACCTGCTGGGGGTTAGCACAAGCAAAGCCATTTCCCAGGGCTGCCACACTGACTGTCAGCACCTTCTGTCCAACGCAAAGAAATTAGGGTTTCACCAAAGTGTCAAGTCTGTCTAATAATGAAGCCAACCACTACTCTTAGGCTTCCTTGGCAGGATGAATCTCTAGGCCTGAGAGTGATGAAATAAATAATGGGAAAGATTTCTTAAAGCTTGTTTTAAACAAAGGACTTCTTATCTTCTTGATTTATCTAATCCCTTCTGCTGTCTTTTTCCCACTTATTTTGAGGGCTCTGTTCCCCAGATTTCCTTGATAGTTGCTGGTCTTCTGGTTGGTGTTCACTGCATCTCTTACTAGGAGATAAAGAGTAAGCTCTGTATATTTAAAAAAAAAAAAGCTCTGGAAAACAGCTTCATTCTGAAGTAACAGCTCCTCAAAAGAGGATAAGGGATTGGTGGAGGCTGTCATGAAGAGGCTGACAACATCTGTATACAAACTGTGGAAAGTAGCCCCACAGCCCAGCCTTTGCTGCTGCAGGGCTACTCACTACCCAAAAAGTGCTGTTTGCAGTCTGATTGTTTTGCATCTTTCTCTAGAAGCATAGAGTCCAAGACTTTTACTTTTATGACAAGCATGTATTGTGCTAGCCTCTTCTCATGATTATGTGTTGTAAGAGGAGCCTTAGGTCTGAACACATAAGGCAGGACAGTGGCTTCCATGAAACACGAAATAAATCGTGTTTGTATGTGTGCTTGTGCACTGGAGGGCTGTTCTGCCAGTGTCTGTTTGTTGTAGCAGGGTCCATAGTACCAGATGCTGTACACTTACACTCATTAACTTATGTTTATCTGGAGCTGTGTCTCTTATCTGTGTGGTGAAAGTTCATCAGCCTACAAGGGCAGATATTTGCTTCATTTAGTGCAATTGTGTGGCTAGAGTAAAGGTCTTAATGTGACAAGTTGAGGAAAATGAAAACAGCAGGCAGGCTGCTACTGTGTGTGCCTTGCCCGAGCAGTCTCCCCATCCCACATCCATCCTGAGCTGCAAAACTGCTCCTGTTTTCAACCTCCTCTGAGCCCAGGTACCAACATGCTCAGCACAAAGCAGGCACCCACGAGGCAGGCATCAAACCTTTCCCCTTGTGACCTGGAGCACGTGCACCTCTTAACCTAGGCTCCCACTGTAACAGCCAGCCTGCTTCCCCCAGGGTCTGCGCCTCAGAGCTCTTGCTGGCACTTTACACATGTTGCATTCAATTACAGTCACTTTTCTCTGCCAGTCCTTGGCTCCCCGCCCAGCTTCAGAGCGCAGCCCGGGGCTGTTGACCTGCCGGCGAGGTGACTCCTTACCTTCCCTTCACTGACTGCGCGTAACCGTGGAAGTACTTGTAGCGGGCGAACATGTACAACAGGCCCAGAACTGCGGCTACTTCTAAGAAAGAAAAGATTAACGGGAAAGAAAATGAGGATCACAGACTGTTGCTTTGCTTATGTTTTCTACTCGCACGTCCCCGGGGACTCTTCATCGCTCCTCATACCCCAGGAAGCCACGCTGAGGAAGAGCATTTGAAGGAGATGCGAGTATTCAACACTCACTGCAGGAGGCTTTTGTCAGGGGGTTGCTTGTAGGGGTGGGCTGCAGGCCTGTCCAAAAAATCTAACAGCATTCCCTATAAATGGCTCTGAAGACCTGACAGGAATGTTACCCCCAGCCCAGCTCGGTGGCTGTCCCAGGGGCAGAACAGTGTCAGAGCACCGTGGCTTGACCCGGCTGTCATCCTGTATTGTTATGGCAGTTCATGTTTAAGGGGAGTATTTGTTTTGGAAAAGAGTTTCTTATTTATGTTAATAACCTGCTTTGCATTTATATAGCAGCTTTTATCCAAGGACACGAGAGAAAGCTGTAGTGAATGTTAGCTTTCTGACCTCCCTGTGGGAAAAGCATGAAGCTACCTCCGCCTGATAGATGCAGCGGGGTGTGCGGGTCACTTGCCTTATCCAGGACTAAGCAGCACTGGCGAAGCTGCTTATGTCCTCTCAAACTGCCTAAGTGTTACAGAGGACAGCTGTTACTCTGGTCTGGATTAGCTCCTCTTAGTGTACCTATGGGAGATGCCCAGCTGAAAAAATTACTTAAAAGGGCGACTAATGCAGTCCTCTTCTTACATATGGCAACGCGTACCTTCCTTGATTCAAGTGTCTGTCTAGGAGCACGTGTACAGTCTCCCATCCAGTTTGTTGAGCTAAGTGGAGCTACTCTGGATTTACACTGGAATCCTATATAGCTGCATTCCCTTTGCCACTGCACCAAAACAAGAGTTAAGAACACTTGGACAAAAATGCCAGCCTGCTTAGGTGCTTGGGAAGGCAGAACAGGTTTTCACGAGTCTCCCTGCATAGCCGAAATGCAGGAGCTATGGCTGGTGGTGCTGCTGCTTCAGTGCAAAGTCACAGAGCAAACGAACAAGTCACAGCCCGGCGGTGGTGTGGCTCATCTGGGATGTAAAATCCCACCCGTTTGCTGGCTCGAGCTCCATCTCCTTCAGTCAGGGGTCCAGCCACAGGGCTGAGCGCTCTGACCTGAACCTTCTCAGGCTGTGTCCTCCCAAGGATTGTAGCTGTGCTTGATGTCCCGTGAGGATTGTCCCGTAATGCACAAATAAGTGTTAGTGGGAAACATCTGGGAGCTGCTTTTCTGAATGATTCACCCAGAAAATCTTCAGTGGATTTTCTGTGAATGAAAAATATGCCATGTACCACGGCTCCTTGGCTTGCAGAGAACAGTAAAAGCTAGTAGGGCTGTGTTAAAAGGCATGACTAATTGGGGATTTTAGTGCACTGAGCATTCCTTCAGGAAGCCTAGAGTAAGGTAAGAAGTGAAAGGAAGGCAAAAAGATGTCTACAAATAATGTACCTCCTGATAAAACTAATATTAGAAACTTAGGTAAAACTTCTTAGTCCAAGAGAAAAACAAGAACTGTTTACCTTGGTTAAAAAACCACCCTGTGATCCAGAGGAGAGTCATGAATATTGGATAAAACTCCGCACAGTTTTGTCTGCAGAATAAATTGGAAAAAAATGTTACTCTGGAACAGAATGATGGGTGGGATTTTTCAAGGGAATCAGCTTTGACATGATTTTCTTCTCACTAAAGTTAATGCTATTGAATCTAGTGGGAGCACAGTCAAGCCGGAATTAGGCACTCTTAAAAATTCCCTTCTTTGTAATCTCAATACAAATATAAACTATTTTGATTATTTTCTGTATATTTAAACCTAAGCAAGGATCTGTATCCTGGCTACATGGAAACGCTTACCAAGGATCCTAACCCAAGTGCCTGTGCAGCAAGGGCAGGCAGGATTTCAAGCACGTGGATGCGATGTTGATCGCTTTCCTCTGTATTCTGTGTGCAACTTGTGTGGGTCAGCGTTCCCAGGGCTGTGAGAGGAAGCGTGGAGCTGTGTGTGGGCAGCGTGGATTGCTCTGCTGAGGCCAGTGCCTTTATGAAGTGCTACCGGGCGTAGGCAGCATGTGATGGATCTTCGTGTGGTTAGGACAATAGGGGTTTTATTTGTTAACATCATCAGTTTTCATGCCAGTATTTTGTTGGGACCTCTTTTCTTGGTTGTTCTGAATGAGCTTCTTGTTAATGAATTAGGCAACCTTCTGTGTCTGTCGCTCTGTTATCTAATATTTAATATATCCTACGTCATCTTGTTGTTATTGTCACCCAGTACAACTACAGTTGCATCAGAAGGCATTGTTTGAAATAACACCACGTTACATATATTTGTGAATGGTCATTAGCTAACCACCAGCTGAAGCCCTTTAGGAGCATGTTGTCACTGTGAACAGGCTGCCTCACAGTTATCTGCTGGCTGTGCTGCTGCCTTCCATGTGTTGTGTGATAGCCACAGGCCAAGAACTCACAGCACGGCTTGCTAGATCCAGAACATCTGAGTTCTGTAAGTTACAGTCAATTAGTTCCTAGCCTT